TAATTGTTCCAGATTAAAAAAAAAAAATTGATATCCTTTAGGTTCACTTGACTAATGATGACAGAATAATTAAATATGAATGAATGTCTTTTGACAATGACAGTCACACCTGTAAAAAGTGATGCAGGGTGAGACAGAATACTGCAAAACAGAAATCTGAGCAGACATTGTTGGCGTGTTTTTGGCAGCTTAGCCAGCCTTTCAGCTGTGTTATTTCAAAAATGTAAGTTTTGCAGATTCTGTAAAGAAACAAGTAATGTGCATCTGAACCAGCATGTTTAAAACACCAATGCAGCAGAAGCGTTTGCATCTGAAAGAAGTAGCAAAAAAAAAAAAAAAAGATTATAAAGGAAAGTATATCTGAGTGTGCATAATGTAACAGCATTATCAGTTCTATAGATCAACACTGACCAGATGGGAGAGATTAAGATGTAAGAAGAATATAAACATTTAGCAGCTGCCAACATTTAGGATTCATCACAAAGATTGGTGATAAAGGGATGTTACCTTATTAAAGGCAGACCAGAGATAAGGGTGAAACAGAAGCTTGATGTATTTATAGCAGAGTTATAAATGGACTGACACAGGAACCTTTGCTCATACGTAACATGAAAGTTGTATCAGATGGCCAAAGCTGCTGCTGCACATTTTCTTTTATTGCCACATATGTTGGTGTGTCCAAAGGTGCATGTCCACTGAAAGAACATCCTCCATGACCCTCAGTAGCTTTCTGGGGAATTTTGCCCCAACGTACGACTGAACAGACTTTGCACATGCAGTTCAATTATGAGAATAACACAGCCAGTATTTTAAAATCTGTATCCAGTTAGTCATAATTCTGTTTTAGCTAAGCTCATACTCAGAGAAATTAAGCAACGACTGTGAAATACCAAACCTTATCACATCTACAATCTAACTTATGTTTATTGCTTATGAAAAAAATGTGCTATTGCATCAACATAGATTAAGGTCATCTTGGTGTGATGTCACTGTCATTCGTAATTATTGATATGCTTAGTGATATGCTATGTCTATCCACAGTCAGCGAGAGCTCCAGATAAGTCAATTAATTAATAGCCAAATTAATCAAAAAATTAGGTTGGGCTGTCCTGCTGTTGTAGCCTCTTTAAACATTCTGAATGCAGATGTGAGCAAATCTTCACAGTATGGGATCAAGCTTTAATAAAATTCACCAGCTGTGATGCATTTGCTATAAATAGATCCCTGAGTTTCAGTACTAAACCTCCCAAAAAATCCCACATGAACTCAGTACGTATGCCGAGTGCACAGGAAGGTGATCCTGAAGTGTTGTCGATTTAAAATCTTGTATCTTTATGAGCGATTCAAATGCAAAATCATATGCAGTCTATACTGAAGTAGGAATAAATTTAACAACTCTACTCCATTTACCTTGGAGGAGAGAACATATTGAGCAATCAAGCTGGGATGTAACCTAAACCACCTACCATAATGACTGCATTCCAGTTAGATGCACCACAGGAGAACTGCACCCGTTAATTGAAGGCAGATCACGCCCTAATTCTCAACACAAACATCATTATTATACTTGGACATTTGCTCATGAAGTTTGAGAACACCTGATCTAGTTTATGCCAAGTATTCAGCTCTTTTGAAATCACTTTGTTAATCAAGACTTGGAAGAAAAAGACAAATAAGAGAGATTATTTAGGACATCTGCACTCAAGAAAGACATATGTGACTGGGAAAATGTGAAAAAACAAAACAAAAAACAAAAGTAGTCAGCTTCTGAAAACTTTTGTCTCTATAATTCTGAGTGCTTGTACCGACTGATACTGGATCAGTCAGTTGACAACACACAGTCAAGTGTGTTGTCTAAGTTTAGCAGCCAACACATTACAAACACCTGGCCCCAGAACAGTTGGTAGGACGGCTCTCTGCTGTCTGTTTGTGGCAGATGGCTGCGCTCAGAGAGGATTCGACTGTTCCAGTACATGGGACCATCAGGACTACAGCAGCCAATCACAGGAAGGGGTGGCGATTTGCGCTTACCCAGCAACAGGCCGGGAGCTGCTCAGCAGGACTCAGGTGGGGTGACGGAGCTACCTCGGGCCTCGGGAAGAACTTTGCATGGTCTTGTCGGTCCACATTTAAAGTTTTCAGTCAGAATGTCTGCAGGGGAGAACTTGGCTCATTTCGAAACACACTCTGTCTGAATGTGTAAAACACACCGCTAAACTGATTGTGACCACAAGCGTTCGCTGAAGTAGGCTTTTAACAGCCTCACTCAAGCCAGAGTGTGTTTTGTGTTATCCGTGTTGACACAGCAAAGCGGAGAAGGAGAAAATGAGGCAGCAAAAGTACATATTGCAGCAAATGAAGGACAGTGACTGCAAATGTCAGGAAGGGAAAAAAAAAACAACCCAGGGGAAGAAAGGTTGTGTCTGAACAAGCAGTTTTCTCTCCAGAAAAAACCTTCACCAAATGCATTTTTAGGAACTTGGCTGATGCACCGGCAGGGAGAACAAAACGGCAAAAGAAGCTGCAGCAGGAATCAAAGCAGAGAAAGTTGTTTAATAGATGGGTCGTTTTCTGCATCCTTACATTTCGGAGACACGGAAGAAGGTGACAAATTGTCAATAATTAGCTTTACCTCCTCATCCGTTCTCTTCTTAAATGAAGCATCTTCAATGCTTGAGGAGTTCAGATGTTCCTAAACTGTGTAGGTTTTAAGGCATGCAGCGACTGTTCTCCTTGAAAATGCAGTTTGCATGTTGCGCACGTCAGTATATTAACTCACGGACCATTTGTTTCTGCTGTTGACACCTCCCTTAATGCTGAAACTGTAAATCACTGAGTGCGGCTGACAGCTGTGACATTACCAAGCCATGCAATAAAGGAGAATGCTGAGCTCAGACTCAGAATATACTTTCTCCACATTATACATTTTGCAAATTGGGGTTTTTTTTTGTTGTTGTTGTTGTTTGCCCCCCAACTGTTCTTGCATAATTGCAAGCTTTACAATTACTCCCCATCAACACCGAACTTTCTTTAGGGGAGTTTTATCGCTTAAAATAGAATCATCACGTCTGCAACAAAGCAGGACTCTGATTTGTGCAAATGAAGCCGCAAAAATGATGTCCTTACTTTTGCCGTCTCAGCATAAATGTCAGGTCTTTCACACAGTGGCTGCTAAATCAGTCACTGATGCTTAGACACGCTCTGCTGGAGCAGGTAAGGAAAGGAATGAAAGCAAAGAAGGCCAAAAGCAGAGAGGATAAATGGTTCAGAGCTTCAGTGAAGACATAAAGCACTGGAGAAATCTGGATGATAATGATGAATAACGACAATGCTATCTATGATTCCTTTGATTTACATTTATTCCACAACTAAAGTCTTCAAAATCTCTGATCCATATTTAGGTTTAACAGGTGGCGGAGCAGATACAGGCCTCTGCCTGGGTTTTAACACTTATAGAGGAAATCAACCCTTCACGCACGCACTTACTTTAATGCTGTTTCTTAACAGATTGAGAGGCTCATTCAAGGGGGAACAACATGCCTGTTTAACAAGTGTGTGTTAGCTACTTATTGGATCAACGTTAGCAGCCGCCTCGTTCGGATCGGTACTTCTCGCTTCGCAGTGGAGGTTGGTTGTTTACAGCGCAGACAATTTCTGGTGACCCTCTCAGCGTAGAAGTGGCACATTTACACATCATGGGCAAACATAAGAATTGGGTCAAATTTAAAACCTCAACAGAGTCCACGCCTCCAGGAAACTATGGTTTCTCAACAGTAAAGAGCCCAGACCCTCTGGGTGAAGTGAGGTGTAGTACAAACAGCTGGTTTTTACCAGGCTAGGTAGCGATAAGCTAATATTTGGTACTCATCCGGTTTTACTTGTCAAAGTTCCCGTTTTTTGAAAACTTTTTAATTAATGCTCTGACTTCAGATTTAACCAAAAAGCTGTTTTCTTGTAATCATTTCTTTGTTTATGAACAGTAACTAGTTTAGGGCTTCATGTGTTAGCAAATTAAAAATACTTTGTGACTTTGACCCAATTTAAGAAACTAGCAGATTATCATTGAGAGCATAATAATATGCTCTCTGTGGATGCTTCAGCTTTGTTAGATTTTTCTTTTATTTTGAAGATAATGTTTAGCCAGAGTGGTATTTAGCCCCAGCTCTTCTTACTTGAGCTGATCTGCCTACCTTCGTATAAGTTTTACCGTTGCCTTTTGCGTTTTTCTGTACTTTTCCACTTTCAGATGTTCGGAGGCTGCTGCCGATTTCAAATTCTGGTCACAGGATTCACAGTAGCACACGGAAAAAAAAACAAAGTTTGACCGTATCACTCCAGTCCCAAAATATTTCCCCCCTGGATTCCAAAACAAACCGCATCTCCTTCAAAAAGTTTTATTTCAAAATGATAAAATATTCAGTGAATGTGCACTCTCTCCTGTGTACGTGACAGACAGACTTCGATTTCGGACATTTATGGTGCGCTACAATAACAGACTTGAAAACTACCATGTCACAAAAGTGTGTTATTTTTATAAAATGGTTCCTAAGATAATGTTAGAAACTTTCGATTCTCTAGAGTTTAGACATTTTTCATCTTCCCCTCAAGGCTTGTTTTCATTTAAACTTATTAAAGGGTTCCATTTAGCTTTTATTTTTTTACATGAGGACTTGGGGGGGGGGGGACTTGCTCATGATTCCATCTTTGTGACCTTCTACAATTGTGTCTTTGAAATTCATCAAACTGAATGATACCCAGGTGGCTTTAGGTTATATAAATACATTTTTACTTTGACTTTGACTTTAACCAGGGAGCTCTGGGGATGCCTTGCAGTATTTGGAACAAGGACATTGCAAACAGTGGTTACTAAAGGGTAAAGTCAACAATATGTAATCAAAATAAGAGTCCCCTAGGAAAGGCAAGTAAACACATCATTTAAGTGAGAAAGATATGTTTATTTTCTTTTCACAGCAGTCTAGAAGCACTGACAAGAAAAAAGTTACTCAACTCAACTTGTATGCATCTACAATAAGATTATTTGTGGAAAAGCTGAAAACTGGAAGAAAGATGAGACAAAGGGACAAAGAAGTTTATCTTGCCATCAAGTGAAGTGAGAAGGACGGTAAAGAAAGTAAAAAAAACTAAAGAATCATTATCGTATTTCTAAAATACACAGCGATTGTAATGAATTCAAAAACACAATTCAAATGGGAATTAAATTAAACAGATCAGAAGCAACTGCAGTCAGCATCTGAATTATCGTTTATCCGGTCCGGGTGGTTTTGCATTTCAAACTGACGTAGGGAATCCGGTGCCAGCGGAGTAACTTTATCAGCACATTTTTCAAAACAGAAAGATATTCCTCTGTATCATTTGAATCTTCTGTATAAGAAATAAAAAAAGTCAATGAGTTGAAAATGCGAAAGAGCTGAGGCAGCAGGATGTGAGCACACAGAGTGTTGAGTGTCTGAAATAGGAGAAGAAATATGACATCGTCAGCGATGTGTACTTCCCAACATTATTTGCACCATAACCACTTCAAAGTGCTCAACGGTCCGGTGAGCTGAATTTGTAGAGCAACCAAACTTGACTTTCACAGGTCTTGCCAAGAAAAGATAAGAGTTTCAAAGGTTTAATACAACAAATATTGTCTAATGTGATCAGTCCAAAGACTCCATTGTTTGCATGTAAGGGACATTTTATTCCCCCTCCTATTACACCTAGCCTTTGGCTCGTTCTTTCTCACAAAGAATATTTCATCAGACAGGAAGTGTGGAAAAGGCTCACTTCCTAAAACCACTCAAGCACACAAAGAGAAATATTTCTAAATTTTGCTGTGAAATCGAAGCTCAGAGAATACTTTCAGAATGTAGAACAAAGTTTTGAAGACCTGCAATCAAAAGATGATAGATAATATCTTCACTTGTGTGTATATTGTGCAGCAGTCATACTTGGTTACCATCTGCAGGTTGTTCTATGTGTTAGTTAATATTTCTGTCAGCATCATCTGATGAGTAAGACTCCTTCAACTCTCCAGCAAACACTTACTGTAATTTTTTGTTTTTGTTTTTCATTGTTGTTATTAAGCCACGGTGATGATGACACGAGTGTAGTCACAGCACATTTTGCCACAGCCGGATATCATCATCACTTAGCTCAAACGCAAGTTGACACTGTTGCTGATCGCTGTGTGGGAAAAAGCAAGGAGAAGTTAGTTTTCTCACAAAAAAATAATAATAACGGAGATAGAAAAAGCAACGAAGCCTTTAAATGCCCCCTTTGTTGTCGACACATTTTCTTTTGTCTCATGCAAACACACAAACAGTCATCTGCGTATGCAACACACAGCTGAATTTCTCATCCTCCTTTAATGGGGGGGAAACATTAGTGAGTCCTTGGAGACAAGGTGGACCGTGATGTAGTAGGTGATCTGTCCGGGCACCGGGTGATAAATTAGTAGTGGTGCTGAGAACCTGTGATGCTGCACACTGGGGCAAATACTTTGGACTGCAAGTTTTTTTTTTTTTTGTACAGAGCTGCCATGAACATAATAAAAGATGATAGATCTGTTCTTGTTGTTTCTGCTCAAAGGCAGCTGCAGGCAAGTTGGGAAGGGATTGGATTGATTTAACTGGTTTTGCTGAAACAATTAAGAAAACACACAATGCGAAATGTTCCTGTAATGCGCCTCTCTTGGAGAACATCTACGCCATGTGAGGTTCTGTTGCAGAGCTGGAGAGCTGCTGCACTGACAGGCTGCTGCATCCTAGATGAGCAAAGGGCAGCTACATTAGATCCTGTTAGACTCTGTGATCATCAATTCATACAATTTTAATATTACTTATAGTTTACAGTAAGAGTACAGTTTTGCACATTCTGAGCAACCTATATGTTATTTTATTTATTCCTGTTTGCATGCTTTCACTTGCACTTCACTTTGCTGCTGAAACAACAACATTGAGGGACAATAAAGAATAAATATACTCTATGACCGACTAGAAATGTGCATGGTAAAGTACCAGAATATTAAATTCAGTCTTTAAAAGAAAAGTAAATATGCTTAGTGAAAACACTGCAATGATGGAGTGAATGTGGCTTTTTATCGAACAACTGTAAAGTTTTGGAGAAAACATTCCTTTTGGTATCCAGAGCTAAAAAAATAACTGATTGGTGGCAGACTAATATGATTCATAAACATGGTGTTTAAGCTCTGTATTTAAATGGTTTACTTTGTGCAAAGAAATGAATAAGCATGTATTGGTTTAGGCATTGCACCTGCTTTTTTTTAATTATTTGTTAAAAGTAAGTCCTAAATGAACAAAATATTTTTCATCCTCTTGTCTTTTTCCTGCAACTTTAAACTTTCAATTCATAACTCAAACTAACTGCTCTGTATGGCACTTAGACGTGACTGTTATCCATTTTTATTGCCTTAATTAACATTTTTTAAGTTTCATAATTCGACCCGAGGCACCTAATGGTTAAATGTACATAAGGATTTCATTAAGTCAGGAGAGGTGACCATCTTTTGGTGTTTGGTTTCAGTAAGATGGTGTTTCTAAAACCCAAATTATGTGGATTGTAATAAAAAAAAAAATAAAAAAAAAACAATAAAAAAAAACTACTGAGAAGAACTGAAGTGGTGAATTATTGATGTTATTGCGTTCACCATCTTTCTGTGCATCATTTAAGAGAAAGAATATAACACTGACATTGGTTTATACCTGCATATTGCTTCCTGAAGCACAGGGAGAGCCTTGGAATAAGGGAGCATATTCATTAATAATTAATACATGATGAGAGGTTTTATTATCATCTCAGCATTTCTTTCTTTTAACAAAAAGGGAATTGAGTAATAATATGAAAAGAATTCAGACTTTGTCATCCTGATAATTGACATGTTTGATAAGAATTTGGTTATTTATATCACAGGGGAAAAAAAAACATAAAGAGAACTAAAAGCTACAATTAGTGACACAATTATTTGCCATATTTTTTTTGAAAGCCTCTTTGGCTGCTCCAGCTGCGATCAGAAATAAAAATGAGCAACCTGCAAGCATCAAAACAAAAAGAGCACTACAGGAGGACTCAGTAAGCCCTGCACTGTGTAACACTAGCTGCAGCATCCTGAATGAGCTATGGGAGCTGAAGGCAACCCACTGCAGGGCCAAAGGAATTAAAGAGCTGAAAAAAAAAAAAAAAAAACAGTTGGCAGAATTGCTGATGGAAAACAGGCTGACTTCAGGAAGTGAAGTTCATTCTTGCAGGAATGGAGTGTGTGTATATAAAATGAAATTGTGCTTAGTTTGTTCCTAATTTATTCTCTTAGGGGAATGCGCCATAAAGCCCATAACTCTTCCCTTGAAAACTATTTTTTAAAAATGTTGATGTGACAAAATACATTTTGTGAAATGAGCATTAGCACTTTGGTAAGGTATTGGATGTATTTAAAAAAAATTAAAGCAGCTAGAGGTTAGGAAGGTTTTTAAACATGCCCTCTCACTAACTAACTGGGGTTTTATGGAAATATAATTTGGCAGAATGTTCTGGTAGCTCTTCTCAGCTGATTCATTTACTGTTTTGATTCATTTACCCACTGGCTACAAAGGGAGTTCAGCCCCTGCTTGTTCACATCCATACGCTCTTAAATAAAAATGATTTGCTACGGCGACCAGACCAATCTCAACATTTTGGTGGAGAAAGGTGGAGGAGATAAGGGGTAAACACATCACTACCCCTGAGAAATGTGGACGGGGGAAAGGCTTGGCAACAATCACAAAGGAAAACCAGTTTTTTGTTGTTTTATTCGGGAAGAAACAGGAAGAATAAATCTCTCCTTGTTGAACCAACCACGGACATGTAGCTCAATCGGTTTTGATCACTGACAATAAATAGCCTGTAGCCAATTAGCATCAGCTAATCATCCAAATTTCCCATTGATGGTCAAAATTTGGATATAAACTTTTTGGAGATACCATTGTTGTCATAAAGTGGTTGTGGGTGGTGGTGAGGATAGACGCAGAGACCCAGGTTACGGTGATAATGATGATGAATTTAATAATAACAAAGCTCAGAACAGTCCAAAACAGGCAGCACGGCGGAGAGACTAGCACACAGCTAAACACCAGAAGAAACTGATAGCAGGACTGGAAATAGGAGCTAACGCTATCCAGGACTTCACAGTTCTACTGGAGCGCATAGACGTCAAACAACTGACGTAAGACCGACGTGCAAACGACAAGGACCCGACAAGAGACAAAAGACAACAGGTGGGTTTAAATACACAGGGAGGATAATCAAGGGAACGAGACACACCTGGGAACTATCAATGGGGAAGACGCAGAGACAACAGAGACTCACAGGACAGAAACTGAACACAGAAAAACCTTAATATAAATACACAAAAACACGGATCATGACAATTGTGTACACTGAGCTGATGGCCTTACCTTTCTCTGTAACTAGTTTGTCAATTGTTTAATCCCATTCTCAGGAGATTTCAATGTGCATTTTATTTTTGACTGGACCTTATTGCCAAGCAGGAGTGTCTGGTACTGCGCTAAACTGGTACTGATCAGGCTAAGACTAATGTATTTCATTCAGTGATTATAAACGGTAGCACATAAAGATCAGATGTGGGGATACCTCAAAGCTCCAAAGATTCAGTCAACTTTTATTCAACACGTTTGTCATCTTTCTTCCTGTTTCTGTGATTATGCTTCATATTTTTATGAGATGCTTTAAGTTTCTAACTTGTATTTTGCTTTTTGGAGGATTATTTTAACTCTTTTCCTTTGTTTTTGTTTTTTTCCTCTGTAATGCACATTAAATTACCCTCTTGCCTTGAAGAACAATGACAGCAGTATTAACAAAGCTTGACAAACCACCAGGCCTATTGTTAGATTTGAAACTGGTGCAGTATGCCTTGGGCTGCTCCTGGCGCTACGACTGTCCTCATGCCAGTAGATAAATCCTGGACCAATAGGATCATTAATTGTATTAACCGGTGCTCACCTGTCCCACACCTTGGCTGAGTGTCAGTCCTTCCAGCGTTTCCAAGTTGGGTCACAGAGAGCCAAGGATCTCAGCTGCAAGGCCACACATGCTTGGGGAAGCAGCACACTCGTCAAGAAAACTCAACAAAGAAGCACAAAAATAATAACATCTCTTAAAATCATTACAATCTGTTTTCTGCACCAGTTGATGTTGAACAGCAAAGCCAGCAATGGTTCAAACATAAAGTGAGACTGTGCTGTCAGACCACTGAATGCTATCTTTATTGTTGTCCCTCTTCCAATTTCAAGTGCTCACATTTCTCCTTGCAGCTGCTTGTCCTCATTTATTTTTAGCTTCAAGCTCCATTTTCTATTGATTGCATCTGCTCTGTGTTTTGCGTGGAGAACTTGGAGCGGTGCCACGTTTCTTCGGCTCGTCATTGTCCTTGAGAACGCCATGACACAAGGTGCACATCATGTCTCAGCCTCATGCTATCAGAGTCAAGAGCTTTCATTAGTCCCCGTTTCATTCAGCGTAGGAGTGTTTTGTCACTTAATTATTAAGTAATTAAACAGGGCATGATAAATTTGTGTTCTAAGGCACTTCTAGAATAATTAATGCTTAAACGGATTCAGTGGATACTTGTGGGTCAGCCACAGATGTGGGATGGCCAGAATGATGGAGAAAACACATTTGCACAGGATGTTGACGGGATCCAGCAGTTTGTACACAGGATGTAGATGTGCAAGAATAGAAACAGAATCACATTCCCTGCAGATTCCCAAAGGCTTAGAGATATCTGGCCACATCAGCATCACAGATACTGAAGCAATTCCCTCCTCACTTGCCTGATTTTTCCCTTTCTGCACATTTACTTGCTCCTGTTATCGTCACCCTTTGCACCCGCACTCCCAATGAAGGTAACAGAGTTTTAAATTGATCCCATACAGGCTTTTCTACCTGATATCCTCACATTTGTTAATGTATCAGAGATTATAGGATTTAGTAAAATTTCGACCAACAATGTACATATTATGAGCAGCTCAACCATCTTCTGTCCGTTCTTGCTTTAGTGTGACAACTGATGACTTAATACATTTTGAATATTTTGCTAGGCTATCTTTTCCACCCCCAGAAAATAAATAAGATGACATAAATTTAAAAATTCATCGTAATAGAAAACCAACTGGATCTGGAAGTAAAAATCCATCCATGCAAAGACCCCAAATTTGACCTTTAAAAGTCAACATTACATTTGTTATGCTTCAAGCATGTGTACACATGTCAAGGTCCTCATGTGAATAATCTGATTGTGTCTATTTGAGGCAGCTTTGAAATCATATTTAGTTGAAAGAGTAAAACAAATGACGATGGATATGGGAAGCCTGGAATAAGAACAAATCTTATTTAAATTATTTTGCTTTTTCTTTTCTCTGTCAGATTGAAGTAGACATTAAAACCTGGGCCTGGACCATAAAATCTCTTTTCTTTAATGCGAGAAACTTAAAGTAAATCTTAAGATATAATGAGCTTAGATACATTTTGGGAATTTAATCCCTTAGCACAAACCTCTTTTTTCATCTGATATAGTATAATTAACTGTATTATATATATATATATTTTTTTTTTAACTTTGTGTGTTTCTTTTGAGTAATTGGTTGAGAGGATTGCTGGAGCTCATTTTGAACGATTATACATTTAATTCATGTCTAGATTTAGTAATAGTTCTCATATATTCTTCTTAAAATCTCTACTTGATGGTTTGCAATATTTTTGTAATAATTTCAACTAGATTACAATCTCGATATAAAAAAAAATAAAGAAGTTTTCTCGTGAGAAATAAGTTCATTTTCATACAGAAGCCCATGGATGTCTGTCTGAATGTATGAATGACTGATCAAATCGTAAAGGCTTTGGAGTCCTCTGACTTGACAAAGGGGAATACAGATGCAGCCCATTTACCATTTTGTGCTTCTTTTAGAATGATACATGTTTACAAAGTATAATCAAGGATTAATTCAGCAAACTGATTTTAATTATGAAACCGACTGGCTTTTGAATATTCAGTATAGAATAATGGAGAAACTCTACACTCAGTAGAAAACACTGTGCAAACTGTTGCCTATCTACATTAAATTCATGACCAGTTAATGTTGAACACTACCAGATGCTAAGCAGCTGAAACACTAATTCTCATCTCAGTGAACGAATTTGCTCTGTACTGTGAATTAAAGAAGAAACACAACCCAGTGACATCAGGCGTCTTTTTCCCATCTCAACATTTCCTGTTTCAACCTGTGGAGGAGGAAGTCAGATCAGTGAAACCTGAACATGTTGCTGCACGGCTTAAAATGGACGTCTGCGGCGAACGACTAAGACTCTGCTGATGTCTTCTCTGATATGGCAACCCAATGCTGTTTTAAAAATACACCAGTTACCACAAGAGCATACGTGAATTGGTCAAATCAAAAAACAAACAATTTTTATTTTTTTTTTATTTTTTTTTGCAAGCACCATTACGGTTTTTATTGCTAGTAATTTGACCTGAAACAGTCTTCAGAGTCAGATAATGATTTTTCCACTTGCTTTTGCTCTCCTGTTTCTCACAGGAGCCTTTCCTCTCCATTGTTCATATGTAGGCTGCTTATTGACAAGGGCGCCCCCAAAAGCAAACTCATCTGCCTTTTTGTATCACTTGTTACAATTTAAAACCATCTGTCCATCCATGCCTCTTTCCCAAACTTTCCATATTTGCGCACAAAGGAACACACTTTACCGAGCCTCATTTTTCAGAGGATATAGTGAGGAACAAGGAGACCATTGAGCGATTTGGTGAGAGGAGGGGAAGCTGGGCAGGTCTGGCATTTGGTCCGGCATTCAACAAGGGGGCTGATTAGAGGCGGCATCAGGGCCTAAATGGGGACATGCATTGCTGAGCTCAGCAGGGGATAGTGTAATTTTAGTTTTTTTGTCAAACAATACACAATGAGATTTTTTTTTTTTTTTTTTCAGCACAAGTTTACTAATTTGATGCTAACATTTGTAGGTGTAACAGTTGAGGCATTGCAGTCTTTTCCTTTCCAGTAAACATTTTTTTGGGGGGGCCTCAGGAAATATACTGAAACTGATTAAAATAATACTTTCAATCTCTGTTGCCACAATTTTTTGTAGTTTTCCACAACAAACAGTGTGCTGTTGTAAATGAAATGTTAATGTAGGCAGGTTGTGTATTTTGGGATGATTCAAGCATTGAATTATTATATCTTTTGTGTCCGTTTGGGTGCTTTGTGCCGGCGAGTCCAGTTTAAAAATGTTTTTTTTCATGTACTTCTGTTGCCTTTTCAGTTTGATTTTAATACACTACGTTCATTTCTTTGTACTTTTAGTTTCATTCATGCCTCTGGCTTGTGATCGCTGCGGTCTTGGAAGTGACCCCAAGAGCAAAATCCTAAATAGATGGTTCGTAGGTTTCATTTAAAATGTCTATGCTTGAATTAATAATGTTCTACACAAGTTCTGACTTTTTCCTATATTTGCCTTCCCATTTTTGTTGTCTGCTCCCTGCTGCGGTTTACTGTAATCACCCACGAGGCTATTACTGATTCTGCTCTACTACTGTTAATGTGTGTTTTTACAACACCTTCATTTTCCGCCTGCTGTCCTTGTTACACCCTGTGCAGAGTGGAAATACATTAGTAATAATATGGATTGTGGCACAGTAGGGCTAAATGGGTCACTGCATTCAGCGTCTCTGCCTGTTACACAACGCCTATAGTAGAGTTTGACCACGGCCTCTGAGACCTGACCGTGATGTGACCGTTCTGCTGTCACAATGACCCGGGTTTTTATCAAAACACACAAAAAACAGCCAAAAGGAAGGAAGCAGACAAGGCAACATTACAGCCGTGACAAATACAAATGACGACGTTTGTCTGTGTTTCTAAAACTGTTATTGTCTAGCTGAATTTACACTTTTACACAAGTTTGATTTTTGATCCAAACTGACTGGGACATTCAAAAGAGCCCCAACCATATTAGTTCTCTCATGGATCTTGTGTAAGGATTTGGAGCACAGAGAGAGTGTTTTCTCTGGTTGCATTATCTAAAAATAAACTTGCCCCCTTGCATAATAACTGAGCCAGTGTGAGAGCAAAAGTTGATTGCCAGCAGGTCCCGACCAGCATCAGCCTCTAAGGAACACGATGTTCACTAGCAGCTTCTGAGACCTCACTGACCGGCATTTATGGGATATTTGGAGGACAATTATAGTGCTCTGACCTAGTGAAGATTAATATAGTGCCACTTCACAACAAATGTTACCTTAAGCCACTATAAAAAAAAAACACAAACAAAACCAGTTGATACAATAAATTAAATTAAAATCATACAGAGAGATTCAAAGTTTGTTACATGCAATCTGATTTGATCCTGGTTATAAAACGATGTTGTCAAGTTTAGTTCATTATTATGGGTTTAGGAAGCTGCAATGTTTCCACTGAACATATGACATCAGCTGATAGTTGATATCATCATGGGGTCATTTACCTTTGCAGCAATCCCTCATACTGAGCATCCATGTGGTTATAGTGGAAATGAAACACTCCCTTTTTAAGAGAAATAACCTCCTTCAGAAACTGTCAGAAATCTCACAGAAGCGCTTGCTCAGGAAAACCGTCTTTCAAATCAAAAGTAAAGACTTCGTGGTAGCCATAGTGAGTTTATCCAGGCGCGAAACAGCTCGTGGTACTATCCACGAAATATCCAAATGTGTTTCTGTCAATCTGTTTCATGTTTGCTCCATCTTGTTCTCACAAAAGCAGTGTCACAGTTTGGGGCATAACTCCAGTGCCAAAGGTAACAAAACGACCCACCAGCCAACAAATAAATAAATAAATAAATTCATCTGCACTTGATATGAAGCACTTGTGCCTCCACGTTTCCTCCCCTTCATCTCTAAAATTGCCTCCGTGCAGTGTTCGCTGCCATTGAATCCCTCATCAATCACCGCTCCCGATCCGTCTCATCCATCTCGCAGGCCAGGGTCCCCTACCTCATTGTGTGCTCATAAATCAGCAGGCGGATGCATTCTAAACAGCATCTGTCTTTTTGTTTTTGTCCTCCGGCCTTTGCTAATCAGTGGTCGTGTTTGTTTGTTGCACAAATCTTCCACCGTGAAACCCTCAGCATGCGCAGCACCAACCACCTGTATGCATAAGCTGCATGTGCACAGTGTGTGAAAAGCAGAAGCACATTGTTTTCCACGTTTTATCTCTCGGGGAAGCTGCCTGGTGGATAGTTTTCTGTCAGGCTCACATAACGTCGTCCGCATGTGTGTTCGTGTGTGTGTGTGGTGTGTGTGTGCAGGAGCACATATCGGAGCGGGAGACAGATGGAGCGGCACTCTCACTCTGAGGAGATTTAAGGGATCAAGACGAAGGGCGAAAGCAAAGAGGGAGGTGGAGGGACCGTGAGAATGGTTACTGTGGTAACCGTGACATCATCGGAAGATTGTGCAATGGGAGTTTTGTTTGAGTGGAGGTGAAGGCAAACAAGGGTCTTAAGGTAACACAAGGAGTCACATAATGAACTTAGACCGGTGAAAATCGAACTCTCGGCTTTAGAAAAGAAAAGACAGGAAAACTGATATTTGTTCTTAAGATGTTTTTTCTCTCTCTCTCTTTGTTGAATCTGTCTTGCTGTGCGTCCCTCTATCGTGGGTGGCTGCTGTAACAGCTCTTTGTTACGTCAGCATGCTGATAACACACTGTGGTCCTGTGGAGGGGAATAGTAGGATCCAGATTGCTTAGTCATTTTTGCATTTTGTTATTATTTTCAGGCATAAAAACAAAGGAAATGGGACACCGCAGAGAACAGTGTCACCATTAATGCATTTGTAAGACAAAGTGTCACAAAAATGGATGGACCGATTCAAAACTTTAATCTTCTTCTGATCAAGATTCTGTTGAACTTTTGTTGATCATGACCTATTCTTGGATTTATTTCAAAATATATCCAGATTATACAATAACGCATATATGCATCTTTCCCCCCCGTGTGACACCGCTCTCTTTAGTTCAATTCTTTGCTGCCTCTCTGGAAACCCTGGCTGTACCACTGTGTTTAAGTTGGATCAAAATTGACATCACACTACTTTTATGTTATCTGCTTTTGTGCAAAATATGAAGTGGAGATTTATTTGTATTTGCGTTTTCTGTAAGGAGCCTCTTACGAGCTCAAGATATGCCATTTCAGCAAAATCTAAACAGCAACCATATGTTAAACTGTTTTGCTGTTGCAGCAGCAGCGGCATCTAATTTGATCCCCCTTGCATTGCTCGGAGGCCAAGACCTCAGTCACATGTTCAAAGAGTGTTCCCAGTTTTATCTCGCTGGGGCAAACAGCTGTCCAAAGACATCATCTCTGGGACCACAGTCACAAACAAGATACATGTAAGCTTTTTCTTTTTTTTTTCTTCTGTATTTTAATGTGTGCATAGTAATATATGTCCATGTTATGTTAAAGATCGCGACAGGTGACGCAACACCAATGTTGCATGTTTGGCCCCTCTGGTGGGAATCTTATACCGAAGACATGTTTATTTTGCCAAAGGTCAAACTGGAAAAAGTCAAACTTAACTTCTGTTGACTGAGGCAGTTCGGGAGTCCAGCAGCTGGTTGGTTGGTTCCCTGAAGCAGCTTCTTCTGCAAGATTTTCGAGTTTGCAACGCAGTGTTGAAATTTCATATGCCAGTTTGGCAATTTCCTATCAGCTACATGGAATCAACAGAAAATAAAACGGGGTTGTTCCACCAGAATTTGAGTTATGAAGCACATAATTGTATTTATAAAATTAAAGATGCCATGATCAAGAATGTATTAGTGTCTGATTACCTCAGTGTATATAATGTTAGCAAGCTTTAAGTGCGGTGAGCCATTTACCTCAGAAGCTGGAGCTCAGATCAAACCCAGCTTCATTTCTAGGACAGAAAGCCAGTTGGTTTTTCCAGCTTTTGTACAGATGCACCAGATTTTCTAAAAGCATAAAGTTTCTCAGTCTTTCAGCCTCAATTCAGAAGCACATATAACTGAATGGGCTAAAACTACAGATCAATAAAGTATTGATTTCTTTTCATTTCTATGATTATGACTTACGGCTGGTGGAAAAAACTAATTCTGGTTCATCGGAAATTATATTATATGAGATAATTACAGAATATTTTAACATGGAAGTTACTTGTTGTGACCTATAGTGTATAGGAGGAATAAGGCTGCCTTTACGCAGTAATCCAGTGGACAGTCACTGACATGCTGCACAAGAAGGTTAAACAATTACATGTATTTGCTACATCTACTGCTGATAACACACTTCTGGATCCAAACATATTATGGAAGGTTCAGTGGACAGATAAATAAGCCTTGAGATAAATTTTAACCAATGCCCAATCAAGAGTCTTGACATGTTCAGGACTCAAACGACTTATATTGCATTCCTTGTGTTTAACCCACACCTAAACCACAGACAATATCAGAAATATCTTCTCAGTGATAAAAAAAAAAAAAAAACCTCTTTTCTGATTATGGTACATTTTGCACTTCATTTGGAAATTAGGGTCCCGGAGTCTAAACGTAGATTGAGGAGGAACAGACTGCTGAAAGTGACGCCTTTACAGTTTGTGATGGTGTGGGAATCACATTCTGCACCCGGTTTGGTCTGCTGTGTTTCAGCAGGTCTGAAGTTCCCACTTGGACATTTTAAAGCACCTCATGCTTTCCTCACCTGCTCACAATGCCAAAAGTAGCAGTACCCGATCTGATCCGATGCTTTCTCTGTGATGTTCTGGGATATAGAGGCTGAGCTCTCGGGTCTGGTGGGGATGCCGCTCCCTCGTCTTTCCTACAGCTGTCCGACTGAGCAGGACGGCCCTCCGTATGCTGGTCCTTCTGAGTTCCAGCTGCTGTGGACAGCTCATGCTTGCCTGGCAGATTGGGGTTCTCTGCAGGGACGGGGATTCCTTCCCCTCGGTGTTAGATTCGTCTGGCCGCCGGGGTGTCAGGATTCTGGGGAGGTCACGGTGATGTGCTTGGATAGGGGGTTGAGTGCCCCGCGTCTCTCCTTGTGTTTGTGACCTGGTGCTCCTTTGCTTCCCTGCTGACCTGCCTCCACGTCGGCCACATGGCCTCTCTGAGGGGTTGCCTGGTGTTGACTTCCCAGGGCTGCAGAGTAAACCTTGATTTAATAAAGCCAGTCATGTTGGGATGACATCTCTAGATATTGCTTTCACACAGCAAAGTTTCCCTAACATATGTAGGCAACAAGCATTTTTATATTATGCCTGAAATGCCAGTAAAATACATACGGGGAAAAAGAAATAGGGCAATTGCATTCGAGAGCACCTCATTTAGCTTTCACCAAAGAAGGTTGTTGCAATATTTTCGAAACCATACATCGAGCAATGACAACAATTAAAACGCATGTGATTTCCTATCCATGTGCTCTCATGCAAAGCATCCACATATAACCAGTCACAAGAGGCCTGCACCCATGATCGGGTTCATTTTCCTGCATCCTGATTTGCATTCTCTGCTCGTCCGTTTGTCATTTGATATTCATTCACCTCAATGACTGAACCGGGCAAAAGCTAAATAAAGGAAAGGTTAATGTCCTGTACTCATTTTAAATATGCTTCAATCACTCCTCAACACTTTGTCTGCTCTCACTGGCAGGTTTAACCACTAGTCAGACGTGGCTTATCGAATTGTGTGCAAAAACTGCGTTCTACACACAATTCAGACAGAACCTTCATGTTCAGATGTGGGCTGAACATGACTCTCTCCAGGGTTTCATAAAGAGTCATTCCTTGCAAAGACTTCTATCATATAAAAATCTCTCTGAATACCTCAGTAAAAGGAGATAGTTGTATTTACCTTCACGGTGAACAGAAACAAGCGTATCCACATATGGAACATTGAACAAAAAAAAAAAAAAAATCAATTTAACCGCAGCCTATAATGGAAAACATGGCAACAAACGCTAATTTAGCTTAATGCAATTTTGTCCGAAATGTAAACAAACACAAATTACATTAACGTACAAGCCCAACGCCAAACAGCTTTGCCTCAGGTTCTTGTTTGACCTGAGATTATGTGAGAAAGGACTGTGTGTTCGTATGAATACAGGCTATCAGCAGGGTTATACTGCTTCCATTTTGTTGTCTGTCCCTCCGAACCCCTCTGTGGTTTAGATCTCTTCATTCTACATGAAAAGATTTTCTCTTCTTTGTGATTCCCCTCACATAGAAGACAAAAGCTGAAAGTTATAATCCATGCATCCTTCTGTTTTTTTGTTTGTTTGTTTTGTTTTGTTTTTTGTTTTAAATCCACATTATCAAAGATTACTTTTGAATAATATCCACCCAGAGGCAAGATTTTGCAAGCCTCGGACTGAAAATTAGTAACTGCTTGAAGTCCTTTTTGACCAAGCAGAGAGAAAATAGGAGCAGACAGGCTCTTACTGGAGGTGAACTGCAAAGCATTTGAAACAACAGATGCAGAAGGATGACACGGTTATTAAAAAGGGGAAAAAATGAGCTTTCTGAACATCAATTCTATTTGCTCAATTATATAAACCTTCAAATTTACATGGTGAGCTTTTAACAGCAACTTAACTTATTGTAAATCTTCATGGAAATTGATTATTAGATTTTTTTTTTGTCTGCCAGAATAACAGCTACAGAAATGATCAGGAATTGTGATAAAAATGTTGATTTTGTGTCAGTTGAGCTATTTCTGTCTTGATTTGGCAAATGTATCATAGCGTTAAAAGACCCAAACATAGACCTCTTTTTGTAGATTTGTTTTTCCCTTTGCATAAGCATCCAATTTCTTATTTTAAAAGTGGTATTAGAAGAAGTCAGTGATACTATTTTCTCTAGAAGTCTCATAAGGCCTTTTGAAGATGAACAGGTTCACATCACATATCCTCCAGCATTGCTAATGGTGCGGCTGGGCTGCTTTTATGCTTTGTTTGCGCCACACTCTGAAGGGTTTATAGTCGAAAAATTACATTTTTAGTCTCATTTGACAAAAGCAAAAAAAAAAAGATCCAGTAGCATGTGTGTTGATGTAGAATAGTAAAATATTTTGCTTGTCATTACATCTAAGCACATGATTGGCTTGTACATTTTGTTTAATGCTGAGTTTGGAGTCCTGTTGACACCAGGATGCCACTTTTTGTTTTGCCTCTCCATCATCCTCCTTACTGCTGTTGCTGGCAGGATAAACTTGGTTCTTGGTCCAGCCTTGTTTGTCACGGCTCCAGGTAATTGAAGCTTAGTAATTGTTGCTCTAGCTGAAGATATTAGCTAATTTAACTAAGTGGCCGTTTCCTGAGTTATGGGATGTTCTCTTACCTGTCCCATTTTGAAGAGAGGCTAAAACAAATTGCACCATTGCTACCTTCTTTGGAAGCAAAAAAGTTTCCAAAGAGTGTTTTCAAGTGGACTTTCTAGAAACTTTAAATGAGCTGAAAAAGGTTAATTAAACGTTTGAAGGGTGCTTTGGTTACAATTGTTACAGGAATTGTTGGGGTTGCTAATAAACATTGCAACAGTGATTTTGCTAAAGATAATTATTTCTTACCAAGGACTTTTGACCCACAAAATAAATGTTCTCAAATTCCAGATCGTATTTTTCCTTAAAAAAACAAAACAAAACAAAAAATGTGTATGATTCATTTAAATTAAAATATTTCCTTATTTTAATGTTTTTTATGATGCTGTAAGATTGGTGAACTATGAGTTATCAGACGACCTCACACGTCAGATTCTAATCTGCTTCCTCGTGGATAATCTTTTTTATTAAGTCCAGGTATTTGTGTAAAACAACCTATAAAAATGGATTTGCTTTCTTTGACATGCTGCATGGTGACATGTTGGATATTCTCACAGAGTAGCTGCATATTTTCAGGATAATTTGGTTGGTTTATGGGCCCGTCATAGTCGAATTTCATTTAAATGTGAGATTGAGATTTCCACCGGTGCATGGCCTCTTTATTCACATCAATTTCAACATACACACTGAATAAATTCACACACACACACACACACACTCTCTGTGGAGATGGGTGTAATTATGCATTCAGTGGATGCTAGGCATAGCCTGCTGAGAGATGTATAAATCAGTGTGTATCTTTGCATGGGGAACTGAGTACACAGTTTCAAGTAAGTACTTTTCCATAACCATGAACACAGAGGAGCCTCTCTCTGTCTCTCTCCCTTTGTTCAACACAACAGTGGGATTATTTCACATCCTCTTCTCTCTCTCTTTTTTTTTTTTTCATGCATCCTCATTCTCCGTTGTCCGGCTTTATCCCTCCTCTCATACATCAGGCTCACGTCACAGCAGACAAGCCCCCGCTGTTTACTTCTAATTTCTCTCTGTGAATCCTAATTGCTCCCTGTACCTTCCAGGGTCAGTCCTAATCAGAGCTATGACAAATGCATCAGACTCTCCATGGTCAACCCTATAAAAAAGCCTCTTTATCTGTAGGTGGTTTAAATTTTAATGGCTTGGCTTATTTTAAAATGTAACAGGTTTTGCTTTCCAGCGTTGCACATCAATTTTTCATCATCTTATCAATGTTCTCCTATCCTTCCTCTGCGTCTATGGCCTTGTCCTTCATTTCTTTTCCCTCTCACTGTGCATGTCCCTACAGCCCAAGGATATAGCTGGTTTCTCATGCTCCATATCCTCACAGCTCACAGTTAGCCCTTTATGCTTCCATATTTCCCTGTCTCCTTTTTCCACTCTGACACCTCTGCACTTTTTTTCCACTTCAAAACGTGTTTTCCTAACACCCCAGTAGGCACTAAAATGTGTCTTGAGTAATCCAATCGCAAGCAAACAGCTCTGAACGTCGGCGTGAAAGTGCTCACTTTGATGCACAAGCAGCAAATTCCTCAAGCGGCCTTTAGAGGTGGCCAGGGACTACCAGGGGCCGCAGAAGGACTGTGACATCCATCTAAGGGAGGAGGACTGAAAAAGTAGCCTCTTTTACAAAAAAGTTTTGCCATGAGCATGCGATGATGAGCTCCTCTGCGAGTTGCCCCTTTGCTGTTCATAAATAATAAATAGCAAATCTCAGTGACGCTTTCCTGCACACAACCACTGTTTTAAGATGTTTAAAAAAACTATTCATACCATTACCATGCTCCTTTTGATGAAATATAATAGAAAGTATATGAGTGTATGTAGTTTGTGCGGCTACTTGAAGCACTGAATAACGTAACAAGCTCCTACCAGTACACCAGTTTGGTCACCCTCCACATCTTCACCACTGAATCTGGTGACTTCCAGACTATCTACTTTCAACTACTATGGTTTAATGTGGGCTATTTGAACCATACAATAAGACAGTCAGACTCCACCCCTATCTGATGCTGTGAAATACGTGTCGGTAAGCCTGTGGAAAGCGACTGAACGTTCTGCTCAATCACAGGAAAGACAAAATTGACAAGATATTGCTGGTTATGAAAACTACAGACTCTAGCTTCAGGAGCAGAGCAGTAAAAATGCCATAAGACATCTCACACTGAAATGCATCCACTGCTGTAAAAGACTAGTGTATAAGTTGTATCAAATCCCTTAGTGGATCTTTCCTTCTATGTCAGACTGTGAGCTGCCTAAGACCAAGTGTGTATAAATATTAAAAAGAAAAAGGAAACTGCATTTAGAACTCATAAACTATTGGGTAGATAAAGAAGTGCAGTGCAAAGAAAAACATAGCAAGGTAATTAGCATAGCGTCAGACAAAGTGCAACCTTATCTTATCTTGCCACCTTATATTTTGCTCTAGCATTCCAGACAGTTTCTGTGTGTGTGTGTGCCAGCACAAACACGTACACACTTCTCCTTTCAACTCCCTCTCCCTATTTGTGAATTTTAACCCATTTAGAATTAACTAAGACAAGTTGGAGTAATATTCCAGACTCTGCAGCAGCGTCAAAGCGTCTGCTTCACTGTTTTTACTCAAAGGTCAGGATGACACCAACAGAATATGGTGGGAAAGAATGCAAGGTGCAATCGTAAAACACCTGAAATGAGGCTGAATTTCCAATGAAGATATTATACCCATGATAAAAAGGTGAGCATAAAGAAAGACACGTACCACAGAAGACAAAAAAGCTTTTTCATTCATCTATCAAACATAATGAAAACACATATCATGAAACAGGCTTCCTTTGTTTCATGTTTCAAAAGCAGACGATAGAATCAAAATGAGCCGCTCTTCATACTGTATGCATAAGACGGCCATATTGAGATGCTTGTATGTCTTTGTGTGTTGCTTTCCTCTCTGTCTGCAGATGGCAAATAGTTCTATTGATGTTGCACCAGCAGCCTGTGATGGGATGAATTATGTAACAGCCTCGATGGGTTGTGAAGGCGACCGTGCAGGGAAGAAAAAGTATTTGAGCTGCTGCCGTGACAACTGATAACAGAACCTCTGTATTTACATACGCTGAGACCTGTAAATCCTCCATCTGCATGCATGGTGCGTGACTTGCAGCAGATCACTGGTGCCTGATGTTTAATAGGACGTGGCATCTGTTCAAAAGCTTAAAGAAAAAGAAAAACAAAAAAACAATAACATCCTAACAATACCTTCCACACCTATTAGTTAACCTGGTAAAGATGTGTAAATCAGAGTCTTCTGATGAAGAAACAAGGTGTTGAAACATTAGTCTTAATGTCGTCTGTAGAATAAATCTGAAAAAAATGATAAAAAGGTTCTAGTCTTTTCTGTCGTTTCACAGATGAGAGACCGTACGTTAATCAGTTGTTTTTGCCAGGAAAAATAATATTTTCTACCATTACAAATGTTAAAATTGACTTTGCAACACTCAGGGATTTGAACTGGAGATTTGCCTTGTGGTTAATGCTAAGACAGTGTCCTAAGATTGAGAATTTGAGCAGCAAACACTGCTGCTTTGTACGACATTAATCAAAGAATGAATATGTGGGAAAGCTATTCATGGCAGAGGAGATGAGACGGCATGTTTTTTTCTTTCAAGAGCCCTGGGAACTTCTGTAGAGTGCCTTGCATGATCAAATGCTTGAAATATCTAGATATATTCAATAAAAATATGTTGGCCTCTACCAAGTATCTAGTAACTTATGGCCATCACAGAAACGGTGGACTCTGGACAATCTAGAGAAATTCTTCGAAAAGGAAAAGACTAATAACTCTTTATGTAGACTCTGATCTTGTCAAATATTACAGAAGACGATGGGCTGTAGTGTTAAAAGAGGCTTACATGAGTATGAAGAATATGGATGGCAATAAGTGTGAAAGCAACTAATATAAGAGGTATAATTTTACTAATAAAATTAGACATGTCTTATTTTATATGTTCAGCCTGCAGACTGAGTCCTAGCAGACCCGAATGGATCTTCTCCCAGTCAAGCTTAAGAGGGAATTTACCTACTGAGGTTTACACTAAGTGACACTAACCGACTCAAAAGACTCAGCCTCTTTCAAATTGGATTGTTTTGCAATTTTTCCTGCCTGTATTTGTCTCTTTCCGCCATGTCGGCACGATATTTGAAAGGCCACACTGATGCATGCTGCTGCCACTTTTGTTTGGTCGGTGTGCAGCAAAGGTGAGCCACGCCAACGTAATGAATGGGGACTGGCATTGTGGAGCAGCCTCTGTGTGAAAAGAGCTTGTGTTGCTGTGCATGTGGAATTGTCTGATGGCACTTTACCAGATTTCTCTTCTGGTTAATGTTTATTTCACTACCCTGACAATGATTCTTTTTTATTCAGTCAGTTTGCCTTTAGCTTAGTTCTACACACATTTTAAAACATCTCCTCTTGTTGTTGTTGTTGTTGTTTTTTTCTTTCTTTAATTGTTGGATTCTTCTTAGAGCTTTAGCTTACTTTATGCACTGGTACACAAGGAAAATAAAAACCCTTAAAATCCCAAATCTTAGACTCGGTTTCCCCCCACCGACTCCCTCTCTGATTCTCTCCGTCTCGCCCACCACCCGATTTAATCTTCAAAGGGGAAGCAAAACGTCTGCCTATTACAAGGAGCCCAGGGCACTCTGCAGAGTTGTGTTAAGTAATAACAAGCAGTGACGTCAAAGGTTTTCCATCCGCGCTAGAAAGAGGGAGGGCGATGAGACTGAAAAAGAAAAAAAAAAAAAACAGAAAAGGAGGAGGTGGAAGCAGACATGGAAGTGATACAGCTTGTGAGAAATCTTTAGGTTTTTTTTGTGTCGATTGCTCATGTAAGACACATAAACATAAATAATGAATAATAATTAGTTCACTTGGATTAAAAAAAAATGTTTGAGCTCATATGTGCTGCCACCGCATGTGCTTTTCATCTGAAGAACCAATTGTTCTCATTCTGAACGTGTAACATGACGCTCGCACATCTGGTTATGTTTATATCACAATACTGCAGTAAATATAACAGCATCTGCTTATCATTTGCTGACAGAAAGAGATCAAGTTTAATATGTGGATCTAGGTTAAGATCTTGTACTAAGTGCCTCTTGTGCAACAGTGATGTTTGTTTAAAGATGACCTTCATTTAACAGAGACATTGTGAGGAAATATTTGGGTATTATTCCTTTATGAAAGAGCTTGATTAGGATCTATTTTTGTCGGCTACTTAACATAACCAGCCACACATTGATTACATAGATCAGCTTATTTAAGCTAGGGGTTGCTTTCACGGTGGCTTGCATAAAAAAAGGGCACAGCATAAATATGTTCAATTTTTGTCACATCGTAACTACAAAGCTCATTGGATTTCTTTGGGATTTCATGTGATGAACCAACACAAAGTTAAACATGATTGTGAAATGGAAGGACTCAGGCTTTACAATTCTTGTAAACAACTATTTTCAATTCAATTCGCCACAGATTCCCAGCTGAATTTCAGTCTGAACTTTGGATGGGCCTTTCTAACACACAAACATGCTTCAATATGACCCACTGCACTGGAGCTATGGCTGTATGTTTAGGGTAATTGTCATGTTGGAGGATGAACTCGTGGTCCAGTCTCAAGTCTTGTGCCCCCTCTAACATATCCTGATCCATGACTGAACTGAGTCCAGTGTCATCCATGTTTCCATCAACACCAAACTCCAGCCAGTAGCCCTGTTCCTGCTGATGAATAGTGTCAGGATGCTGCTGCCATAAGTGATGGAGTGTGTTCAGAATGGTGTGCAGTGGTGGTTTCCCACAATGCACGGTGTTTTGCATGTTGGTCAAAGAGTTACATTTTGGTCTTTCTGATCAGAGCACTTACTTCCCTTTTTGCCATGTTCCCTGATCGCCAACGCCAAACAGCAAAAAAGCCTTTAAAACTTAATTTAAGCTATATCTTTTCTCTTGCCAGTCTTCTACTAAGACCAGACTTGTGGATTGCCAGACTAATAGTTGTCCTGCCATTACATTATCTATGCAACCTGAGTTGCACACTTCTGAAGCTTCAGTAGACATGGTACAGATCCCAGTTACATCTAATGACGAGAGGATTACACGTAAGACAATACAGCTATCTTAGCATGCGTTGTAATGCCTCAGGACTTTACTGTGTCAGATTGTGGCTGTTTGCTGTCCCTTCGTCAATAATAAACACATGATGTGTTCTCTACTTAAAGAGCAAATTCAATGCAGCAGAATGTAAAAACCTCCATGCACAGAAGGCCTTTATGCTACTGACCCTAAATAGCAACCGACTTAGATTTCACAGAAAATGCTGCAACACAACAACACAATAGGCTTTGCAGAACTGTATTAAAACAAAGTTGCTTTTTTGCATTCGAGTCACTCCGCCACTGTGATGTATATACTGTATTGTAGATCTGAATACACAGGGCACTGTTCAATTTTCTCCCCTCATTTCTATCTACAGAGTTCCCGTCTATGCTCTGTGTTTGATTCTGCTGGGAGCAGCCTATTTGGGTGCATTTACATTTGTGTGCTCACAACAAAGCGCATGACTGCTTGGCAAACTTAAGTGCTTGAAGAATGTCTGAAAGTCCACTCCGCCTGTACAAACCAGCTTCTGTTTGCAATATAATCACGGCTGTTGTGTAAGCAAAACTTAGGCTAGCAATAGTTTTAGAGAAAACAGGTTATTAAAGGGAGAGTTCTGAATTTTTGAAGTGAGGTTCTATAAAGGTGTTGTAGTAAATATGCATCTGCAGAAGGTAATTCTCTAGGCATCTTCATGCAAAATAAATCAATATAAGTTGGTCCCAGATGTTGACGCTAAAAGGTAGTCCAATGCCAAGACCAAAGTGTACTTCTACCACCTTTAAACAATTCCAGTCCTAAAAAAATGTCAACACAGTTTATGCTAATGCTATTTTGCCATTGAATAGAAACGTAAAGCATGATTAAAAGCAGAAATACTACATTTAAGTGAATAATATTCACATTTATTTTTTAGACTGGCTTATTTTACTAGCCCTGTTGCCTAGCAGCAAGGGGATCCTGGGTTTAAATCCAGCCCTCGAGTGTCTCTGCATGGAGTTTGAATGTTATTCCTGTCCAATGGTAAGACCATAAATTTTCAGTAGAACATCATTCTGTCCATGAAGGAGCTGGTCTGACAAAAGACAAGGCCAGTAGACTTCCTTTAATCTTACTCTGCTGCTATCTTACAACAAGTAACATCTGAAAAACACCAGATCTGTTTATGCAAACACCACTTAGCGAACCTTTAAGCCATTCTTATATTTACATTTCAACATTATGTACAAAGAACCTGTGTATTATCTATTTACACAGATAATACAGGTTGTTGGCTGTGCACCACAAATGTTCTCTCCCCTTTGTGAGAGCAGCTGAGAATAGTAGATAAAAAGTGTCTCTGTTCTGAATAACTGTTGCATATAAAAGTAAAGTAGTGAAAAAGTAACATTTTATAGTTTTAAAAAATTGCTATTATGGATTGCACTGCTTCACTTTTGTACCCTGGTCTTTTATGTTCCGGTCTGAGTACGTCTTTCACACCGACATATCATCATCAAACTACCTCCATTTTCCAGGTACATAATCAATGAGCTATTTATAAATAACATCTTGATGCAAAGTTGACAACTGTTTCAGTGTTCATTTGTGTAAACTGCTATGAAATCTTTAAAACTGGGGTTGTTTTATGACAGTAGGCGTCCAGTTTGCTTTCAGGCTCTCATGGACTTGTTAGCCCTCTTCTGAGACTAACTAATATAGATTTAAACCAAATGAAATCACTATAAGAGTAAGCTAACCATAAACCGAACCTCACTAAAAACAAATAAACTATACCTTTAAATGTGACTTCCCTCCATTGGTCACTGTGATATTGTATTCTACAAAACACATCTTTATTGTTTGGTCTGTCTTCACTCCTGTAACTATAATTGAAGTCATCACTGCAGCTGACAGCCTCTCAGACAGTTCATTTGTCATTAACAAACACCTAGTGCTCTTTAAAAACTGGGCAACAGGCTGCAGCTCAGCGGAGCGATGACGTGCGCAGCCTACATCAGCACCTTGGATACGGGCACACCATTCACTGTGGGGCTCCTGCCCCGTTTTGGACCAATCAGCGCTTGTGTTTTCAAGCTTGTACTCAGCACCACCCACACTGCTGTATTGTTCCGCTGTAGGGAATCTCCTCTCAGGCAACGCACGTAGCCCATATCTATTATAGCTCCTGCTGTTCGTCGAGGCAAGTTGCAGCAATGTAGTATGTTGAAAATAGATTTTGAAGAGGTGAGTTTTGCTAGCAGAAGCAAACAAATGACGTATTGCAAGGTTTTGGTGTATGAATTGAACGGATATTGGGAGCGTACTCTCACTAATAAATCTAATGAAGGATAGACCAGCCCATATGTTCCTAGAAACAACGCAAACATGTTGAGCTGAACAAGTATTTTGTTTTACTAAAAGTATTTGTTTCAAACACTGACACGATGTTATTTTAAATAGCACCTTTTCTTTCTTATCATAAATTACTCTTGCCTTTTGCTGTCAGCACAGTCCTAGGTTATCTCTGACGCAAACCCTCATCACAGGCGTTCCTCCCATTTCTCAGAATCATATGCCTCAGACTGACAACACCCTTCAGCCAATGAGAGCACGATCTCGTCAATGCTCGCGGGGCGGGACTTGTCTCTTCGACCAATCACCTCCTTGGATATTGTTTTGACCTCTGAAACCGCATCACCGCCTTGTCTCGTGTCCGCGGCGGAGGAAGTCTATAAATACAGGAAACGCAGAGACTGAAGAGGACGAAGTTGCGAAACTCCCGAGTAGGAGGGAGCTACTCTGCAAAGCCTGCTGAAAGAAGAAAGGAGTTTTAAAAAAAAAAGCAAAATAACCTTAAAAACTGAAACCTTAAACGCCAATTCTCCAAAAAAATCACCACGTACTGGAATACTTTTTTTGTAACGCTAATATATTCTATGTGAAGAAAGTATTTATACTTTTGTTTTCTATTTGCACTAACCAACGGTACTTCAGAACTACTGAGCATTTTTATATTTTCCAAAAAAAAGTAAGTATTCTTTTCACATATGCTTATGATATCTTATAGGTTTCTATTTTTGCATGTATTATATACCTGGTCATACTTTGTAAGCTGGCAGTCGGTCGACGAATTTATTGGGAGGGGTGAGATAAAAATGTTCAGAATGCCTTATTTTATCTCAGTGGAATAAATTACAGTATATCCATGCAAATAGTGGACGTTATACGCGCCTTGCTTTGCTGTTGTTACTCGACTATTTTGTGATATTTTTGTGAATAGCCGTTGAACTTCATAACACTGAATATTATCTAATAAGACGCATTAATTAGACGAGTATAATCCGATTATTTGTTTGAGTGTACATGTCTTTCTCTCAAGAGGCACGAAAGAATGAATTTTTAAGTATTTGATCATTCTCAACAAGTTCTCGCCTCTTGCACGTCATAGTGCAAGGCGATTATTTTAACACCCCCGTGTCTCACTGAATATTTACCAAATAGCCGTTTAATCTGCAAAGGATTTCCTCTTCCCTCTGCAAAAATTGCCAAACATGGGTGTAAACGCGGTTTTGTTAAGTCCTCATTTCGACACAGTTTATCAGTGGGACTAATCGGACAGAAACAAACCCCGTGACAGGGTCGTTTAAAGCTTTGAAATGCAATCCCCCGACCATTTCCTCACAAACTTATCCACCATCATCAGTTATTTCCAGTGCAATTTAATCGGTTAAGTTTGGTGTTAATTAAACGCAGAATCCCCCGCAGTACTTTTCCTTTTCTCCTGCCTTATGGAGGCAGTCCAGTACTGTGTTATGTAAGAGGATTCCCTGTTCTAGTGCAAGGTTAATATGCCCAGTGCCTACGTTTTTTGACATCTATGTGGATGTAGGTGCAGGATCTACACGAATCATACTATCCAGGCTTATTTTAAAGTTGTAAACATTTTTCCCCCTTTATTTGCAGGACATTTTTGTTACATTTGTCTGAGTTTACTGCATTGAAAATAATGCCTTAATATATAATAAACCATCCAAACCAATTAAGTTCATTTTTAACTTATTCTATCTGAATATAATTACATTTATTCATGATTCCTTTCCTTTTTTTACGTTTGCCTTATCATTGCTTCAGGAAAATCGATCACACCCTGTGGAAGGACACCACTCTTACAAAACCAGCACTTTTGATTTTTGCCTCCCCTACCTGGAGCACGTCAGTGTTGCCGAACACGGATAAACGAAGCCGCGTCGGTGGACGCGTTCAAGGTCACAGCCAGCTAATCTCCACGCACCTGGCACACTTCAGCAGTTCGCTATGCAGCTTGAAATCCAAGTAGCTCTCAACTTCATCATCTCGTACCTGTACAACAAGCTGCCGAGGAGACGGGTCAACATCTTTGGCGAGGAGCTGGAGCGGCAGCTGAAGCAGAAGTATGAAGGACACTGGTACCCGGACAAGCCATACAAGGGCTCAGGATTCAGATGCATCCACGTGGGCGAAAAGGTGGACCCCGTGGTCGAGAAGGCAGCGAAAGAGAGCGGGCTGGAAATCGAAGACGTCCGCAACAATCTGCCCCAGGACCTCAGTGTGTGGATTGACCCCTACGAGGTGTCCTACCAGATCGGCGAGAAGGGGCCCGTCAAGGTGCTGTACGTCGACGACAGCAATGAAAGTGTAGCTGGGAATGGAGGGGTTGACTTGGACAAGGAGATCAAAAACAGCTTCAACCCAGACGCACAGGTCTTTATGCCCATCAGTGAGCCTTTGAACGGGACCTCTCCAGGATCCAGCTCTCCCTCTCCGCCCTTTGGCCACTCGGCGGCGGTCAGTCCCACCTTCATGCCCCGGTCCACACAGCCTTTAACCTTCACAACAGCCACCTTCGCAGCTACTAAGTTCGGCTCCACTAAGATGAAGAGCAGTGGACGCAACGGCAACAACGGCAGCGGTGCTGGGAACAAAGTGGCACGTACCTCTCCCACCAACTTGGGCCTGAATGTGAACAGTCTCCTGAAACAGAAAGCCATCTCCACCTCCATGCACTCACTGTACGGGCTGGGACTTGGTGTGCAGCAGCAGCAGCACCAGAAGCCCTCCGCCCTGTCTCCCAATGCCAAGGAGTTTGTGTTCCCCAGTCTGCAGGGTCAAGGCAGCCAGAGTGCTCTGTTCCCCGCAGACAGCCCGCTGCAGTACAGCAATGCCTTCGATGTGTTTGCGGCCTACGGTGGCCTTAACGACAAGTCCCTCATGGATGGCTTGAGTTTCAGCTTAGGCAACATGCAGTATTCTAACCAGCAATTCCAGCCAGTCATGGCCAACTAGTACACTTATAAAGGTACTACTTAAGCTACTACTTCATACGGAAACGACCAGAGATAATGTGATGGGGGGAAAACAAACACAAATGCACATTTCAGAAAAAAAAAAAAAAAAGAAAAGTTTAAACAAAAATAGAATGTTAAATATGAAAGAGAAAAAAAAAAGACTTGTAAGCTGTAAAATCCGAGTTTCAAGTCTAAGAGCATGAGCCCGAGGGTGAATTACTTTATCCCCTTGAGTTATACTTGTTTCTTTTTTGTTTTTTGTTCTTTTTTTTTTTTTATTTCTTAATGAAGCTTGTAGTACAAGTTGTCTAAGCTTGGTTACCCAAACTTTAAAATGCATTATTGTTATTTCTTTTGCCAACCAAGCACAAAATATTTTTTTATGTAACTGTTTTAAGATAAAAAAAAGAGAGAAAAAAAAACACCACCATAAGTCATGGCCTCTTTCAGTATTTAAATATAACTGGACATTGCCAGTTTTTCAAGAAATTGGCATCAATAAGTGGGAATTCCTGGTCTTTTTCTAATTGTATAATTTAATTTAGTACAGAGTTTGTAAAATATCAGAGTATCTATTGTTTCTACAACACGGTATTGCATTTATATCTTTTTACTACTCCAGTGATCTGTGATGGCTGCAGCAACTTTATGTTTCCTTTTTTTATTGAAATTATAAAAATGAATCCATCTTAAAAAAAAAAAAAAAACAAAAAAACATCGACTATCCTGAAGATTGTGTACAGACTATTCCGTAGTGGTGGGATTTAAGAATATTTGCTTTTTTTGACAAAAATATAAGAGTTGTATTTTCTGTTAAGAGTTTAAAGATTTTTGCTATATTATGGACAAAATGTAATCGTATATTAATTTTGTACCTACATTGTGCAATACTTGATAAAGCAAACGGTATAACAAAGTATTCGGAGTCAGTGTCTTACATGTTAAGAGGGACTGATAGTTTATTAAGTTTGTATTAAAAAAAGCTTGAAAATAAGAAGCGTGTTCACTCTGTGTTTGGTGTTTACAGTTGTGCAACACGAGGCAACTGTGAAGGTTTTTTTTTTTTTTTTTTTTTTTTTTTTTACGAACATAGGGTGTAAAATGACTCTTGTAGGCGAATCAAGTTTTTTCTTACCACAGCCGCTCTTTCTTAATTAAGACAAATATGAACCGCTGAAGCTCATCGTTAATTTGCTTCAGGTAATTACCCTAAAACATAAAGAATGCCGCAAAGGCAGAAATTGCGGTTTTATTATCACCAGTTTTATGGGAACAAAATTTATGTTGCCTAACATGCACCAAAACAAATCATTTTCTGTGCCTGCAAAGCATACCCAATAAGTTCCCTGCAACATATTTCACAACTGGATGGTGTTGGCCAAGTGTTGCCCTCTGTCAAAGTGTCACCACAGTTGGGCCATAACTTTGCTTAGCAGTTCCTGCACAGAAACGCAACCCTGTTAGGCTAATGGCTAACGAAAGCAGCTGAATAGCTAAGTTTATCCTGAGAGCCTCCTGAATTTAAACATTAGCTATTGACCAACAGCAAGCTAACTAAATTATTTAAAGTCCAACTGCTTCTTAGCTTGAATCTTGGCCTCAAAAAGCCTGTTAGCTAACAGGCTGCTAAACCTTTTAGCATCTTTATAGGTATAAGATCATCTAAACTGGGACTTAAAGGAGCTTATTGTTAGTGAAAACAACAATTGACCAGTTATTTTTAAAATAGCTTAATGCGGTCGCTGCTGGGCTACTCTTCAGGTCAGGAACTCGGTTTCGTAAAGTGTAAACAGGATAAAATATGTTAAACTTGAGCAGACCTGAATCAAGTAGCTGCTGAAAGCCAAACAAATTGGTTACATTTCACCCAGTGTCCTCAGGTGATGTGACCTGTTAATGGATAACCTGCTCTTTTTCTCTTTTTTTCTTTCTTTGTTTTTTTTGTTTTTTTTTACTTCTTTGCCCACAGTCAAATGTGTCCCACTGGGTCAAAATATATTGTTTGTCAAAAACAAACAATATATTTGAACAAAGTGGGTTTTCTGAATGAGAGTTACAATAAAGCCTGAGGTTAGCAGAAACACAAAGCAGCAACTCCTGAACGACCTCGTTTAATAACTTCTGTTGCAATTATCCAACCGATTATTTAACATCGCAGGTCTGATGTCTTCTGATATCTGTTACCTAATATACCATTAGATATGACTGATTGGCTTCAGAGCAAAGTCAAAGTAGAAGTGTTGCTGATAATTGTTTAATATTCAACATACGATTAGACCTTTAAATAAAAAAAAATAAAAAAAACAGATGTTCCTGATGAGGACATCCTCATTTTAAAAATGTCTGTGATGTCTGCTGCTGCAAATAGGTTTTTGGACCATTTGGTGCTGGCACGGGCCAGCTGACATCACCCTGACCCTGCTAGGAACATCAGGGTCCCTCCAGAGCTGGCTCATCATCACTTGTCTGCTGGCGTGTCCTCTGATACACTCAGGGCTTGATAGGCCTGTGTAAAGTTCAACCCGCATGTGCGTTTATCTTGAGGCACTGATACAGCGTTCTGGT